CTTGTCACTCCCAATCCTGAACCCTATTTTACATGGTGTTGTAGGAGATGACGAGGCTGAGCCTGAGGGTGGGGTCAAACACATCATCAATTTGGAATATCTACACCCCTGTAAGAACTAATTCCAGCTCCCCTCGGAACCTGTTGACTCTTATCTGGCGCCAATTTGCATTGACTGTTAGTAGATCAGATTCCTGTGTCTAGGTATCATGGAATAAACTTGCAGTTGTGTTTTGAACTCTATCCTGGCTCCTGATTTCTTGCACCTGACAGGTGTTTCCTGCATAAGTCCTATAAAGCTCTTAAAGTCTTGCTTGTTGAGGAAAACTCACTTGGTTTGGCTCCCGTATTATACTAAACTCTAGTCCAGTGATGGCGAACGTTTCAGACACCAAGTGCTCAAACTGCATGCACGCGCATGTCCAAACTGAAAGGTGTATGTGCAGCAGAGACACGAAGACCAGGTGCCCAGTGGGAGGCAGGGCATCCCAACACTGGCAGCGTGGCACGAGGTAAGATCTTTTTCTATCGTGAGCTTCTGTTTCGTCATTTGCAGGGAAACAGAAGCTCACAAAAGAAACGCCACGGAGATCTGGCCTGGGGGCAACGGTGCGCGTGCCAGCAGAGAGGGCTCTGCGTGCCAACTCTGGCACATGTGCCAGAGGTTCACCATCATGGCTCTAATCCATTCTTTATCAATGCTAGTTCACAGAACTAGTTAACTGAAATAGAACCCACCAAAATTCAAGGTAATGTGTGAATCAGCCTCTGATAAGAAAAGGCTCTTCAAAGTTTTGGAAACAATTCTCCAGCTTTGGATGAAGATTTAAATTTGAAACTTTCTGTCTAGGAAGCCAGTGTTCTTCCACTGAGATAGGACATTTCCTAATGATTTAAGTTAATAAATCACTTGGAAGCTTTGATAAAAGGAGAACAGCCACAAGTAAACAAAGGGTAGGCTTGTGTATCTCCAGAGATTAATTTCTTTGGAAATGCTCCTGTGCTTTGTTTTCATTTCTCCTTTTGGTTCTCAATAACAGATCAAAAGCCAGGCTCAGCTGTTACTCAAGAGTTGCCTCTAATTAAACTGTTGGAGCATATTGGGGTGGGAGCAGTAGTGGGATTCAGCCAGTTCGCAGCTATTCGGGAGAACCGGTTGTTAACTTTCTAAGCAGTTTGGAGAATCGGTTGTTGGAAGAAATCTTATTTTGTTTTTTTCCCCCACTTTACAGGGCTAATCCTGTAAGGAAGGCAGGAAGGAAACATTCTGGTGGTGTTTCTAGCCTAATCTTTATTGCCCTGCTTTCAGAAACTGCCTCTCCGGTTAACCCTTATTACATTGTAACAGTTAAGGCGAAGCACCCATCAATGTGAGTGACGTTGAGTTGGCCACGTCCACATGGTCACATGACTACCGAGCCATGCCTACCCAGCTGGTCATTAGGGAGAGAACCAGTTGTTAACTTATTTGAATCCCACCATTGGGTGGGAGAAGAATAACTCTTTTCCCTGGAGAACATCTGTAGAAGGTCTACATTGGGTTCGTTTAACTCAATGGTATCCACAGTCCAACGTTTCATTGTGTATGTATGCAATAATAGAAGGGGAGGTGCAATGGCTCAGCGGTTAAAGATGCTGAGTTTCTCGGCTGGAGAGCTGACAGCCCGGGTTCGAGACCCAAGCTCTGCGCAATGGGATGAACTCTCGTTCCTTGCTCCAGCTCCTGCCCACCTAGCAGTTCAAAAGCATGCAAATGCAAGTAGATCAATAGGTACCACTTCGGTGGGAAGGTAACACGTTCCATGCGTGTTTGACATATAGCCATACTGGACACATGACCGCAGAAATTGTCTTCAGGCAATGCTAGCTTAAGGGGATGTGGTGGCTCAGTGGCTAAGACGCTGAACTTGTTGATTGAAAGGTTGGCAGTTCAGCGGTTAGAATCCCTAGTGCTGCGTAACAGGTTGAGCTCCTGTTACTTGTCCCAGCTTCTGCCAACCTAGCAGAAAACATGTAAAAAATGCAAGTAGAAAAATAGGGACCACCTTCGGTGGGAAGGTAACAGCGTTCCGTGCGCCTTTGGCGTTTAGTCATGCCGGCCACATGACCACGGAGACGTCTTCGGACAGCGCTGGCTCTTTCGGCTTTGAAACGGAGATGAGCACTGCCCCCTAAAGTCAGGAACGACTAGCACATATGTGTGAGGGGAACCTTTACCTTTAATGCTGGTTTCCTTGACCAAGAAAAGGAAATGAAAGTTGCATCCTAGAGCTGGACACAACTGGACAGGGAAACCTTTATCTTTTACAATAACACTCTTTGTTGGGTTAATGTTTATCAAGGTAAGGATGGTCCCAGACCTTGCAAGTTGGGTTTTTTTTTGCTAACTACTGAACATATTTACTCAGAAACAAGTACTCTGATATCAGTAAGCCTGATTTCCTCTCAAAACAATGTGCATTAAATTGCAATCAAAGAGAACTGGGCAGCCAATCTACGATGCTGCTTTATTTATTGGGTTTCTTCTATGCCAGCCATGAGGCTCTAACCCAATTTTTCACATCCTCATGTGGAATGTTACAAAATAGTTTTTTTTTTAAAGTGAAGAGTTTTGCAAGATGTGAGTGGGAGGTGGTTAACTTTTCATTTATAGCTATTTTACGAGAAGCGAGTCAGAAGTCTTTCACTGGGAAAAAAAAATCTCCGCAAAGCATTGGGTAATACAGTTTCCTTAATTGTAAAAAAATGCCTTCTGATGAACTAAAGTAAATGTCCCTATGGATTTTATTCTGCTAGTTGTTTCTGATTATAGGGGCCAGTGCTCATCTCTATTTCAAGGCCATTGAGCCAGGGCTGTCCAAAGACATTTCCATAGTCATTTGGCCACCATGATGTCACAGAGCACTGTTACCTTCCCACTGAAGTGGTACCTATTTATCTACTCGCATTGGCATGCTTTCAAACTGCTAGGTTGGCAGGAGCTGAAGCGAGGAACGGAGCTCACCCTGTTGCGTGACGCTCGAGTCTCGAACCTGGGTTGCCGGCTTTCTAGTTGATAAGCTCAGTCTCTTAACAGCTAAGCCACTGCATCGCCCCATTCTGATGACATAAACTTACAAAAACTAACCCATAGGAGCAAATCATACGTTCTGCAAAAAAGAGATGAGGACTAAGTAAATGGTTTTTGCTATCTTGGTGTCTACACACATTCCACTGTAGGCACATTCCAGTGCCTACAGTTGGCAGTTTTGAAATCTACCTATGTTGTGGGCGGCCTGGAGATCAGCAGACCTTTCAGGCAATAGGCATCCACAATGTATGATGGGTTGCTATATCTCCTACTTAAAAACAAAATTGAAAGCTCTCGAGATCATTGTATGTCATAATATTACATCTGTTGTATTCCTGAAATAGCAATAGCACTTAGATACTGCTTCTCGATGCTGTACAGCCCTCCCTAAGAGGTTTACAGAGTCATCTTATTGCCCCTAACAATCTGGCTCCTCATTTTACCGACCACGGAATGATGGAAGGTTGAGTCAACCTTGAGCTGGTGAGGATCGAACCCCAGGCAGTCAGCAGAATTAGCTTGCAATACTACACTTAGCCTCTGCGCCACCACGGCTCTTTAAGATATTGTTGGTCAGGTAGTCCAAACAAGAAATACAAAACCATGAGTTGCTGCTACCTTTATTGTAAGGATATAGTAACAGAATCTTGCAAGTCTGAAAGCATTTTCATCCTCCTTTACTTTTAGTTTCCAGAAATGTAGGGTAGGTCCCTTCTGAGTTGCTTCCCACACCCCTTTTCTTTCTGTGGACCGAGATAGCTTTTGATTGTCTAGGCCAGGAGTGTCAAACTCGATTCCATTGAGGGCCGCATCAGGGTTGTGTTTGACTTTGGGGAGGGAGCATGGCCAGGGGATGTGTGGCCAGCTTGACATCACTCGTGTTGGGGGCGCCTGTGGCGGCCTGAGCGCTCTGCCAATGAAAAAGGCTCCTCAGCTCTGTTTTCGGCTGCGACGGCCTCCTGCAACACTCTGCCAGTGAAAACGGAGCTCGGGAGGCCGCACACATCCCTCCTAAGCTCCCTTTTCATTGGCAGAGGCACCGCGGGCCAGTCCTTCGCTGTTTCCAGGTCAGCCCCGTGGGCCAGATCTAAGCACTCAGCAGGCCAGATCTGGACCTCGGACCTTGAGTTTGACACCCCTGGTCTAGGCTGTGGCTCTTCCTCTTTTCTTCAAGGTCATTCCAAAATGGTCATACCATTACCAGAAATTATGTAAGAAAAACCCAAAGCTTCAGAAGATTTAGCAATCCGCCTCAAAAGATTTCTACCATTAGAATTTTTGAAAAATGATAAAAATACTGAATTTTGTAAGGATGTCTAGGCTTATTTCGAGAGGCTGCCATTATGAAATCTTGGAGATTACAATTTTTATTAATCATAACGTAAAATGCAGAAATACAAAGAAAAATGAAAATAATGGGAAAATGGGATGAGAAGGGGAAGAGGAAAATGTGTAGGGTGAAAGGGAAAAGAAAAAGAAAACATTGACTTTCGACTCTTTTTGGCACAATAGAATAAGTTAATAACATAGAACCTCAACTTTTTATTTTTACATAATAATATATGCTAGCCATTTCTATAACGGCAATCCTATCTGATTGGGAAAACCCAAAATCAAAGTTTCATTTTTTTTCCACCTCAAGCACAAAGTTCAGAAGTGGTTTCCAAGTAGAAGGGATATTGCAGTTATGAAAGTGTCCTACTGCTGACCCCTGTTAAGAATCCAGACATATTGTTTAATTTCTTCCATGTGAATGTTGCCAGATTGTTGATATAAGTTGCCTATGCAGACAAAATTATTACTGAGAACAATGATAAGCGATTATGTCTTCAGGAGCCTCCTGGTAGAAAGCAATTTAGTCTACCCTTTGCTGTAGAAATTGTGCCGTCTTCCTGTTTTCTCCTTTAATTATGTTTTCATTTTACTTGTAGACTTTCCAGAACGTGCTGATTGGAAGTCCAAGGAATCGTATGATAGGCATTATGCCTAGCTGGGTTATTATTTCAAGATCTGCTGTTGCCACTTTGCCCGGAAAAGGACGCCTCTATTCCAGATACGTTCTCTCCCAAAATCAAGCATGGAAAAGTTTATTGGCCAAAGGTCGTTCAGGTTGGTCCCCAGCAAGCTGCAGTTGTCAGGTCAATCACACGTTCCCCCTGGGAAAAGCCTTCCGACATACCTCCACGGAAGAAGAAGACTTCTCTTTCCATTTGACGCCATCACAGATCAATGAGGTCTTAAGGGCGAGCGAGTTGTCCTACACCGTCCCTGAATTTGACGGGAAAAATCCCAGCTCAGTATTGAAATTCGAGTCCAATCACCTGGGAGCCAACGTGCCAATAGAAGACCGCCGAAGTGCAGCAACCTGTTTACAGACGAGGGGAATGATGTTCGGAATCTTTGACGGCCACGCCGGCTATTCCTGTGCTCAGTCGGTGAGCGAGAGGCTGTTTTCTTACCTCGCCGTTTCTCTTCTGTCTCGGCAAACGCTGGAAGAGATTGAGTCGGCCGTGGAATCTATGAAACCGATAATGCCCATTCTTCAGTGGCACAAACACCCCAACGACGGCTTCTTCCACGAGGTTGCCTCCCTGTACTTGGAACAGCTCAGAGTTTATTGGCAAGACTTACTGACCTCGGACACAGACCTTGGACTGACGATGGAAGAAGCTTTGATCGGTGCTTTTAAAAGGCTGGATTCAGACATATCGTTGGAAGTTCAGGCACCTTCCAAGAATGAACTTCTGAAAAATATCGCTCTACAGGTGGCTTTCTCGGGGGCAACGGCTTGCTTAGCTCATGTTGATCAGGCTCATTTGCATGTTGCAAATGCTGGGGACTGCAGGGTCATCCTGGGAGTTCAGAACCCCAATGGCTCGTGGTCTGCTTTACCCCTTACCCGAGATCACAATGCTTTCAATGAGTCAGAAATCTCGCGGTTGAAAGGTGAGCACCCAACTTCTGAATGGAACACTCTCATTATGAACGACAGATTGCTGGGCGTCCTTATGCCTTCCAGAGCTTTTGGAGACGTCATGTTCAAGTGGAGTCAGGATCTGCAGCAGAGTATCCTTAAAAACCACTGCAACCTGGAGGATTTAAACATCTATGAGTATGTCCCCCCGTGTTATCACACCCCTCCTTACTTAACAGCTGAGCCAGAGGTCACTTACCACAAAATCAGGCGGCAGGATAAGTTCTTGGTTCTTGCTTCTGATGGCCTGTGGGACATGTTGAGTAACCAAGAAGTGGTCCAGCTCGTTGCAAACCATACAGTTGAAGATGATGTCCAGAAAACTCAGCTCACTTTTAAGAAACCAACCAGTCTGGGGTATGTGCAAGACCTGCTACTTCGGAGAAAGGCCCGGATTGCCCAGCCCTGTGACCAGAATGTGGCAACCCACCTTATCAGACATGCCATTGGTGCCAATGAATATGGAGAGATAGACCAAGAAAAGCTTATGGCAATGTTGACTCTTCCTGATGACCTAGCACGCATGTACAGGGATGATATCACAGTTACAGTGGTCTATTTTAATTCAGATGTAATTGATAGATACTATCAAGAGGATGAAGAAAGATCTTGAGTTACATGAATTCTGAAGGTCAGGAGCGTTCACTTCAAATTCCCTGAAACATTTTTTGCATGAGAGCCCCATCCATAAAATCCCTGTCCTCCCTTCAGGAGACCAAGTTTATTTCTCTGTAAGTCTTGAATTCCTATAAAAAAACATTCATTTTTGGCTTGTAAAATAATTTTGGGGCAATCATTTGATTTTAGTGGAACACTTGAGTTTTGTAGTTAATGGGGTGCTGGGGAGAAACTGGTAATAGTTGTTTAAGTGGAACCTAAACTTTGTAGCTAGTAGTACAGCTAGTAATACTTTAGTAGTATTTCTAAAGTAGATTGGAATGGCAGATAGTGCTCTTCCTCTATGAGCTCTCCAAAATGGTTATCGGTGAAAAGATTGCATGCAGGGGAAGAGATGCATTATTTTTCTGAGGACACTTGGGGGTTCAGTGGGGTTCAGGATTCCAATCCATGCAAACTGACTTGTACTGAAAGGCAGAGATGCTACTCCAAGGGAGCTTACTCTGATCCTGTCAAAAGAATTATATCCAACAATGCCCCTTTGCCACTGCATAGCCATTCCTGCCAGGTCAAAAATCCCCTGCTACTAGAGCTACTTAAAGATACAGCTATTTTCATAGGTTTGTGGGAGGGTCAATGAAACACTTCCCTGAAGCCAAATTCATCCCTGCAATGCTGAATTTTGTCTTCTGCTCCCAAGTCATTTGCATGAGGTTCCTGATGGCGTCATCGTGATACATTAATATGGAAAGCGTCTTCCAGCTATTTAAGCAGCGTCCACTGTGATCAGTTTTCCTCCTTACCTTTCTGTTTGAAAGGCTTGCAACAACCCCTTTTCTTTCCTCATCTGAATGGCTACTGTTCATAGGCTGCATCAATTACTACTTGAATACTCGCAGAAAGCACTTCAGGGATTTCAAACTCCTGTTGATTGCTTCTGCTACCATAGCAGTCTTACGTAAGTGTCTCTTGCTGTCTTTAAAAAAAAAAAAAGCTTCAGAAAGGATTACTATTCGTAGCTGTGCTGCGTTCTTGAAAGGCAATTGGAAGACATTTTACAGTGTAAGGAGATAAGGGTATATTTGCAGCCTTGGTTCAACGCGCCATGTTGCCAATGAATGGCTTTAATTTCCTAAGAATGGACAAATATTGTGCTTTTTATTTACGTTTGATCTTTTAAAACACCTGTTGACTAACATTCTCTTTGAATACCAGTCATGTATGAGTAATACACTGGGTTGATGACTGTTCTCTGAAAAAGAGCAGGGTTTTATTAATAGTACACACTATTCACTGTCTGAATCATGATTTTAGGGAAGTCTGCAACGCTGCATTTCATTTCCACGGAACGGTTTGCTGAGTTACACTTTGCATTCTTCAACTTGCGTTCCAATTCAACATGAAAACCGAACCAAACAGTAGATTTTTCTCTGAAGGAAATTTCAGAGTTTTTTGAATGACACATCTGATAGCAGATCTTTTCAGACTGAGCCCAGGGAGAATGAAGAGTCTTCAAATGACCCAAAGGAAGGAGCGGCTCAAATGAAGCAATCAAGCGAAGCTACAGAATGGTTGATTAAATTGGATGTACGTTAGATTAAGAGAAGCAGTCCATATCCTCGGTTCTAAGAATGGCCGGTGGTTTACAGAAAAAGGGAACAAGTTGATTAAGAAGAATTGAGAAGTCGGAAGGAAAAACACAAACCTTGTAATATATTGTGCTTAAAAATCCAGAAAGGGGGGAGAAAGGACATTTCTTAATGTTGGCATTAGAAAAACATAAAGGGCTAATAGTTCTGCTAGCAGTTTGAACAACAACAAAAAAAAAATTGCATCCTTAGGACCACAAGTCCACAAATTTTAACCATAAAATATTGCTTAAAACAAGAACCCCTCAAGATTGTGCATTTTATAAGTAATGTTGCTAAGTATTTTTGGGCTACATCAAATTTACAGAATCGTTTCTTTTAGCACAGGGAAAATCCAACACGGTTGTCCCTAAACAAAGTTTTTCTTTGCTCATCAGTTGTCCATCATCCGCTTACAGATGGGATGACTGGATGTCATTTTTCTAGCAAGTGGAACTTAACCAGTAATAAAGGTAGTAGGAGTTTTCTTTAGCAAGACTTGTTAGCAATTGCTGCTCTAACAGTCATGCTTATTTTTTTTAATTGCTGATGGTAAAAAAAACTCCAGGTTTTGAACAGCTTGGCAAATAATATTTTGGATTATGTCCATTCTTCTTGTAGCTATTTTGCTAGTTGCTACTTTCATATGTGGTAGGAGTTGATTACTTCTGATCTTAAGCACTAGAATTATATTTCCGGTATTCTCTGCCTCCCAGCAATTTGCCTCCTTACAGCAAACAGCCCATTTCAGTTTCAGCTTCAGCACAGCCTGATTAGCACAAGCTGCTGATTGTCGGTTGGATCGGCCTCCTGACCATCAGCTGTTTCAGGCTGCAGGGATAGCCATTGCCTATTGCTGCCTCCGCGTGCCCCATTTTTGGCCTCCGCTGTTTGCTGCAAGGAGGCAAATTGCTGGGAGGGAGAGGCAGATTTTTTTTCTTGTTTTCCTCCCCAAAAAAGGTAGGTGCTTCTTATAGTCTGGAGAGTCTTATACTCCAAAAAATACGGTATTTGATAGATTCTCCACTAGAGAAATACCAAGACTGAACCTGAAAATGTATGCACACAGAGCCATATGATCTAACCTCTCAAATGTCAACTCCATGTTACCTTACCATTTCTTAAACCATTTCCCTCTCTACCCTTGCAGTTTCTACGTTTCTGTTCTGCATAGATTACAGTGCATCCAGTTACGTAGAGTATGTTTTCTAGATTAAGGCTATTATTTTTGGGCTATATTTAATATTGCTGGATAAAATATCCTAGAACAGGGGTCTCCAACCCCTGGGCCGTGGCATGCCAGAAACTGGACCACACAAACAAGCAAAGCCCCATTCACGGGATGCAGGCAACACACAAAACCACACCAGGGGTGAAATGCTACCGGTTCAGACCAGTTCAGGCGAACCGGTAGATTAAAAAAAATGCTACCTGTTCAAGCAAACTGGTATTTCCAATGATCAGCTGTGATGGGAGATTTATATTAGCTAGAATCGTTGGATTTCCTGCTTTCTAGCTAATCTAAATCACGTGGCACAGCACATTCCCACCCCCCTCGCTGTTCTACTTACCTTTGCAGACTCAGAAGGCTTCAAACTGTTACTTTTTTAGTGCTATGCGGGCACGCGTGCTCGGTAGCAGGCTCACAGAATCGTAGCAGACTTCAGAGGATTTCACCCCTGAACCACACCCCTTCCAGACCGTGGACAACCTCTCCATGGAATCCGTCCCTGGTGCCCAAAAGGTTGGAGGCCACTGTCCTAGAACATTAAAATTCAGTAATGTAAGTGGGCCTTTATTGTGTTTAGGACAGACCAACATATCCTTGAATATTGAAGTATCAACGATTACAAAGCAGATAGGGGTGATCTTCTAAAACCAATCTCCAGAACAATGCAGGGTCTCGGCAAGATGTCTGTACTGTACAGTTAATTTCAGAGGAATTTGAATTGGAGACATTTTCCAGAATTTTCTCTAGTTTGAAGCTGGCCTGTGCCCGAGTTAAATACAGTTCAACAAGTGATGTAAAAAAAAAATAGGGTCAGTAATGTCAAGAAATTACTAATCTTTATAGAATGTGGTTACAAGATAACAGATGTTTCTGTTTCAAGAGGAAGCGTATTTATTTATGCATAATGTTAATTTAACATAGTACTTCAAGCATTTTTATATATTAACAAGTTAAAATGAGCTAGCATTGAGATGAAGAGAGCATTTATTACATGTATGTACTTTAAAAATGCGTTCATACCTTTGTTATTTTTAAAGCTTATTCTGCTTAGGAATAAAAGTATGTTTAAGATGAATGAAAGGGTAAGAAGTCAGTTTTGCTGTTTTTCTTCTGTGTAAAATACACACTGTGGTTTCAGGCCCAATATTGTATTTATTTTTAGATTTATCTCCTGCTTTTACGCAATAGCGTGACAAAATAAAACCAACAACACAATTAAAAAAAATAAACCAAATGAACACATAGAAGCAACTTGGAGCTTGCAATGCTCTTGAACTGCAATATTCACATACCTTTTTTCTAGCATCATGTACTTTTTCCAATTAAAAAGTACTGTTTTCTAAATGGAGACGAGGCACAGTCAGCGCATTAAAGCATGACGCCCATTCAATCCAGGAAAAGTATAAACTGGAATTGATTGTACTGCCTTCTGCTGATCCCTATTCTGCCCACGAGGGGTTCTGTCTTTACTGGTTTAATGTGGCCCAATGAAGAAGTGGCTCTGAGTGGCTTAAGCTCAGAGACAAGAACATGTTTATAGGGCAGGGGTGAAATCTACTTTCCTTACCGGTTCGGAAGTGTACGTGGACGTCAAATGCACATGCAAACCCTCTGCACATGCGCAGAGAGTAAAAAAAAACATTACTTTCTGGTTAAAACCAGGAAGTAACGACACCTGGGCGGGTGGGTGGAGTCTCGCACGGCCATCGCTACCGGTTCTCCAAACCACCTGTCACAATCGCTACCGGATCACCCGATCCAGTCTGAACCGGGAGGATTTCACCCCTGTTAGAGAGTGATTAAGGTCATGTGGCCTACAAAAAGAGTCAGGGCAATGAGACTTGTTTTGAGAAATGGATGCTTTGAAGGTGGTTGTGATCTCCATAGCAAGTGTTCTCCAACAGCAAGTGTTCTCTACAAGCTCATCCAAATTTTCCAGCAGCAGCATTTTGGGAGAAGGCCCACGATGTTGTTGTGGCTCTGTTACCTGAGCCTGTGTCATCGGCTGGAGAGGATTCTGAGAGTGAAGGAGAGGAGTTGGCAAGGCCTCCCTCTCCAGGACCCTCCTCTCTGGCAATGCCTTCGGTGTCCGCCGAAGGGCAAGAGATAGGGCCGGGGCCAAGCACGTCCACGCAGCCACAGATGGACAGTGATGAGGGTAATGAGTCTTGGCTGGATCCACGCCAGCGTCACAGAGATAAGCACGCGCAACAGAAGAAAAGGTGTGCCCGAGATTAGGCTGAGTCACTGGACCACACCCCACAGGATATAAAAGGGAGCATGGTGGCCAGTCAAACCTTGTGACAAACAAAGCTGAAAGTTTCCATGCCATTCTGCATTGCCGGACTTTTTGCTTTAGACTTTGCTGGATTATCTTTGGACTTGATTGACTCTGTAATTATTGAGCTGTTTCTTTTGATGTACCAGAAGTGGGGAGAAATTATCTCTCCTCTTCGTAAGTAATAAACTCTTGGCAGGCAGCCACTAGGTTGTTGCCAAGTTCCGTTATCATAAGGAAAAGGATTTTGCCGGCTGGTTTGGTCTTTAACTCTTGAATGTCTGTTGGTGTGTGTGCGTGTGGGACGGGGACAGAACAGATGTGCACTCAAAATTCCAAATAGTTCAGAGAGATTGGAGAACCCTGCTTAGTATTTCAAGTTCTCAAACTGCTTCCTATAATCAGAATGAGAAGACTTTATAGGTTACAACAGGTTCAAATGATAACATACCTACTGTATATCTTGTGCCTGGCAGTACATGTAGAAACAGTACATGTAGAGCTTTGGGTGGCGCAGTGGACTAAACTGCTGCTGTTAAAGTAGCACTTAGCTGCCAGCTGCCTGCAATTACTGCGGGTTCAATTCTCACCAGGCTCAAGGTTGACTCAGCCTTCCATCCTTTCGAGGTAGGTAAAATGAGGACCTGGTTTGTGGGGGCAATAAGCTGACTTTGTATAAAATAGAACACCGCTTAGGGGGGGCCAAAAAAAGCCCTACTAAGCAGGTATATACAAAAGTATGAAGGCTATTGCTTAATGCATTGTAAGCCGTTCTGAGTCTCTGGAGAAGGGCGGCATATATAAATCAAACTAATAAATGAATAAATAAATAAATAAATAAATAATTTATTCTTCTTAGAATTGAGTAATACAGACTTGAACATAGTTTCCCATTAAATACAACACCTACCCTGCAGGAATCAAGGGTGACTGAATGTTCCTGATGGATGATCTTCTCAGCTTTCATTTAGACATTCTAGTGACAGAAAACATTCCTCTGTAGCAGCAGATCATACCCTAAGCCAGTGATGGCTAACCTTTTTGCCATCGCGTGCCAGGAGCAGGTGGATCGTGGGGGAGGGTCATGCGCGTGTGCCCACACCCATAATTCTATGTGCCTCACCCATGTGCGCGCAATTCCCCCCGCGCTGCTCCTGCTCCTGGCACGCGATAGCCCGGTAGACCCGTTTTTCTCTCTCCCCAGGTCCCACCAGAAATTGGCAAATGGGCTGTTTCTGGTCTCCGGGATGATGGGGAAGGCCGTTTTCACCCTCCCCAGACTCCTAGAAAGGCTCTGGAGCCTGGGGAGAGAGAAAAACGGGCCTTCCTTACCCCACTCCCGAGACCCTCTGGAGGCAGGAAACAGCCTGTTTCCCTACTTCTAGTGGGCCCAGAAGGCCTGAAAATCAGCTGGCCAGGTCGCGCATGTGCGCCGGAGCTAAGCTCGTGTGCCCACTGATATGGCCATGCGTGCCATCACGTCCCTCGGCTCATTCTCAAGAAGTTTCTCCTAACATTCAGCCAAGAACTTTCTTTTCTTTTCATCGGCTTGGTTCCCATCTTGCTCTCTGCAGCATCAGAGAACATCTCCTTCAACCTCTAAGTATTAACGTTTGGAGACAGGTTGTTCTCTTTTGTTCAAGGGGAGATTAGTGGGACCTTCTCAAGAGATGTTCTATTGGGTCAAGCAAAGGCTACACCAGATCCAACAGAGTTTCTATCACAGACCAGGAATCAGTCTGATTCTGTTGGACTCCAACATAAGGACATGGATATATTGGTCTTCCATTACAGCCTCAAGATCCCGAGACATCCTGCTTCTACATAGACAAGGGTTCAACTTGGGATTCAACTCAAAACCTGACAAAATCGAGAAGGGCATAGCAAGGATCTGCCACAAGATGTCACTCTTGACTTTGGCCTGGTAAAATCTCAGGCAACTGTAGGTTTCTTTGGGACCAATTTATTTTTGTCCTCCAATTCTCTAAACGAAAAGTTTGCAAGTTAAATGGTGAGAAGTTCATTCTACTGTACACCTACCTTCCAGGTTCTGAATGTGCTAAATCTCCAAGAAAAACAGATTTCACTTGTATTGGCTATCTTCCATACATCTAACCAAATATTTGGAGCAACAAGCAGAAGCAAAGCAACGTTATGGAATGATGTTAAATGCAAATATTTATTTTCTTGTTTCGTTTTTTTTTTTAAATTCAGACCCTTTTTGTTTTGGCAGTTCAACCAATAAGCTCCGTTTATGAATGTTTCATCATATGTAACCATTTTTTTTTTGCTTGAGTAAACTCTGATTGTTAAACAGTACCAATTGACCAACCATGTTGGTTTTTCACTCTTAGCTTGACCAATTTTAAAATAACCGGTGCCTAAAATAACATTAGCTCCTCTTCTGCTTTTGCAAAGGAACTCTTTATACAACTGGAATAGCTGCAACCTTTGGAAAGTTTTTATTTTTTTTCCCCCACTTCCTCCCATGGGGATCAGCCAAGATTGCAAAAAGTCCAAAACTTGTCTTAAAAAGGTAACATCTCCTTCAGGTTATGCTCAGCTTCCAATGGTCAGGTAGTATGCAACACGGGGGAAATCCCAAATTTTTCCCTACCGGTTCTGTGGGCGTGACTTGGTGGGTGTGGTAGGGGAAGGATACCACAAAATCTCCATTCCCTCCCCTCCTGGGGGAAGGATATTGCAAAGTCTCCATTCCCACCCCACTCCAGGGGAAGGATACTGCAAAATCCCCATTCCCTCCCCATTCCTGGGGGAAGGAATTGTAAAGTCTCCATTCCCTCCCCATTCCAGAGGAAAGTTACTGCAAAATCCCCATTTCCTCCTGATCAGCTGGGACTCGAGAGGCAGAGAATAGATGGGGGCGGAGCCAGTCAGAGGTGGTATTTGCCGGTTCTCTGAACTACTCAAAATTTCTGCTACTGGTTCTCCAGAATCTGTTAGAACCTGCTGGATTTCATCCCTGATGCAGCAGCAAGGCAGAAATTATTAGCCATTAGCCATTCTTCAAAGATGTTTTTTCAACTTTTTAGTTCTGTGTTTCTCAATCTTGGCAACTTGAAAATGTGTGGACTTCAACTCCCAGCAGAAGCAATGCGGGTTGGGGAATTCTGGGTGTTTGTTTTTTTTTAAATTTGATTTATATGCCGCCCTTCTCCGGAGACTCAGGGCGGCTTACAATGCGTTAAGCAATAGCCTTCATACTTTTGTATATTTATACAAAGTCAGTTTATTGCCCCCATAATCTGGGTCCTCATTTTACTTACCTTAGAAAGGATGGAAGGCTGAATCAACCTTGAGCCTGGTGAGATTCGATCTTACTTTAATTGCAGGCAGCAGAGGTAAGTGGATGTTAATAACAGTGCTTTAGTCTGCTGAGCCACCAGAGCTTGGGTTGAAGTCCACATGTCTTCTAGCTCCCAAGGTAGAGAAACACTAATCTAATCTACATTCCTAGTATTTTCTGCTATTTCCCATCCAAATATTAACCACTCCTGATTCTACTGAACTTAGACAAGATCTATCAATGCTACTCTGCCTTGAGGGCTACTCATTACTTGCGAACTTATGTCTTTCATCTTGCAGGATCCCACATAACAATGTGGCTCCACTAATTAAGAACTATAGATCACTGATGTGGCAACAGAGCATGCATCTTTTGTGATCAAGAGGAAAACGAGATGTGGAAACAAGAAGATGCAAAACAGGGAGAACCCATAATCTGAATAGAATAGAGTTGGAAGGGACCTTGGAGGTCTTCTAATCCAACCCCCTGCTTAAGCAGGAGAACCTATACCGTTTCAGATGAATGGCTGTTTAGTCTCTTCTTAAAAACCACCA